AGAAAAACCCATTCCACAGCAGTCTGTGAGTGTGCTGAGGTCCCTGTGCTCGAATGTATTGTAAGTGGCAAGGGAACCTCATCAATGCCCAGACTTGTTGTCCTGCACCTACCCAATGTACTTGCAAGGTTTGAAGAGGTAGCTTAGACTGTATATATGTACCTCCCTGCTTTATATAGAGGAACTTATATGCTCTAATGGCATGGAGGAGCTCTCAAAATTTGCTGCTTGCAAAATTTAAGGACCTACTTTTTAAGATCTAGTTCTAGAATAATTTAGTGCTATCTAGTAGAACTTCCTGCACTGATGGAAACATTCTATAATCTACATTGTCCAATATGGTAGCCAATAGCAAATGTAGCTGCTGAGCACTGGAAATGTGAGTAGTGCCACTGAGAAATTGAGTTTTTAATTTTAATTAAATTTAAAATTAAATAGGTGTATGTGTCTAAGGCTACTGTGTTGGACATTGCACTTCTACATAATGTGTTTTTGACTGTAACCTCTGTTTCCTAAGATGGAAATTATGATACAGTGAAGTTTGGAAATACTTTATAGACAAAATAAGACCTGTGTTTGGTTTTAGGGCAAAACCACAGAAAATGAGAATATGCCTGTCAGATGGAGGTGGGCATAATGTGCAATCACTCTTAAGTTGCACTGAACCTGCAGTGTATCGAAGTGTTTGTAGTGACTTGGCTTTGTGCCCACTGACCATTTTAGATCTTCAGAGGCGTGCAACTATGTGGGTATGTAACCCGTTTCTATTGCAGTGCAAGTTTCACTGAAGCACCATAAATCTTGAGGAGTCAGAATGCTGCAGTATATCAGATACTCTGATCTCTGGTTTAAATGTATTATGGTGAACATTGGAAGACTTTAGAGCTAGAAGACCCTTAGAGACTGTTTCATGCTACCACCCTCTTCCTGGAGAAGTGAGGAAACAGGTACATAGGAGTTGCAGATTATACCATGGGAAGTGGCAGAGCTAAGTTTAGAATCCAAGAGTCTTGACTTTTATTTTCTGATAAATGTTGACATGTGTATACACTCATAACTATGACTCAGACCGAGATATCAAACATTATCACTATTTAAAAAAATCTGAAACCAGTTCTTTCCTCCTACAATCCTAGTGTTCTTAGAACTCCCCACAAAGATCAAAGGCATCAAGTCAGACTAGTTTGGGTACCAGTCTGCTTTATGTTGGTGTGCCCTATTGATTGGCAGGAAGAATGATGGAGCTTCCTGGCCTCACCCAAGCTCTGCTGAGCCAAGCTTACCCATGGCGTTGATGTTCCCCAAGTGCTGGATCCTCAGAGCTCTGGTCTGTGTGAAAAGGACACAGAGAGTGGGCTTGATCCATCTGATGGGGCACGAAGGGCTTTCCAAATGGGAACAATGCTTCTCAAGGCTAAGAACTAAATATCAGTGGCAAAGGAGGGCAAGAAAGAGCTCAGACAGCATTTCTGTCCATGCCTGACCTGCCTTGAGCACCAAGACAACAAACAGGCATCTGGAGGTCAGACCTTTCACAGAAATTAAATTTTCTGTTTATGTATACATTGTTTAGCAAACTTCAGCATTGCCAGAGCAAAATTACGAGCTCATGCTGAATGTCTGGTGGAACACAGGCAAATTAGCAGAGACATCTGGCAAGTTGCTGGTATGACTGCCTTTCCCTAAGAATTCCTAAACTATCATTTGAAACTATTGTTCTTCCTTGAAAAGGAAAAATAAAACAAAGACTTGCCATCTGACTTCAGATGTTGACTCTAGTTTTAGGAAGGACAATTAGTTTCATTTGCCACGCCCACCCTAGGAACAGAATAGGTAAAAGTGGAAAATGCTAGTGAGTCATCCATTTAAATAAGACGTGGAAAAGGAGCGAGGAAGAGTATGTTTATTATTGTTTGTTCTTCCTTTCTAAAGCATTTGAATGTGCAGTATGGAAATGTGGCTCCTTTATTGAAAAGTAGGGTTTGTATGGAATAATAATAGTAACATTTATATACCACTAGTTATGTGCCAGGCACCACTCTGAATGCTTCACAAATATTGGATTATTTGATCATCACAATGAACTTATAAGATAGTTATTATTATCCTCACCCCCATTTTCTGTATGAGGAAATGGAGGCATGCAGAATTAAGTAACTTGCCTGGGGTTACACAGTTTTCAATACTGAAACTAGGATTCAAAACCAGAAAATCTGCTATCTAAAGTCAGTTCTGACAAGTCCTATATACTACATTTCTAAGATGAAGACAAGGAGGACTCTTAACAATTAGCTGGGAATGCTTATAAAAAAATAGGTATATAGTTAGAAATAGACACCTTCCTAATGCTTTTTTGGTATTTTTACAAACAGTTCCCCACCAAATCTCCTTGAAAATTATGCTTCCAGAAAGTGCTGCCATGTTACCAGTTTTCAGTAAAGGAAAATTTTGCTGGGGGCTGGAGAGAAAGAAGCCTTTTTTTCTCCATGAAACAGTGACTTAAATGTTGTTTGAGAAACTCTGTAATTAGATTTTAGATATAAT